TCGGGTGTCACGAACCGACACGTAGAATTAGGGGATCGGGTGTCACGAATCGACACGTAGAATTAGGGGATCGGGTGTCACGAACCGACACGTAGAATTAGGAGATCGGGTGTCACGAACCGACACGTAGAATTAGGAGATCGGAGTGTCACGTTCCGACACATAGTAGTAGGGAAGCGGAGTGTCACGTGCCGACACAAGAGGAATAAAGATAATGAATCTTGGAATTATGTTAATAAATTCGAATGAAAAGAACCTAATTCCCAAATGAGCATGATATGGAGGCTTGAGTCCTCATGAGTGTACTTGACGTTATTTATCAAAGATTCTTGTAGATGTTGTTGCTACAGATTGAGTATTGTAGTTGATTTATAATATGATCTGATATATATTGTTTTCTATTTTGAGTTGGCCTATGATATCTACTCAGTACCCATGTTTTGTACTGACCCCTATTTGTATGTTTCTTTCCTTGTTATTTGTGGAGTGCAGCAAACGTGTCGTCGTCTTCAACTCAACCGCAACTCTAGTCAGTCTTCATTACACCAGATTTCAGGGTGAGCTACACTTCTAGCTTGGACTAGATCTTCTTCTTCATGTCTTGATGCCTTGAAGTTCCGGCATGGACTAGCTTTTTATTTATTCTAGCTTTCTAGATACTCTTAGCTTTAGTAATTTGAGGATAGATGTTCTTGTGATGATGACTTCCAGATTTTGGGGATAATAATAGTTGTCGAGTTTTTAGAAGTTATTTAATTGATTTTCATTAATGAGTTTAAGTCTTCTGCATTATATTGTGTTATTATATTCGAAATGTTGGGTTTTGTATTGATTGGTTCGCTCACATAGGAGGGTAAGTGTGGGTGCCAGTCGCGGCTCGATTTGCGTCGTGACAAAATTGTAATAAAAGATTACTTAATGCAATTCCAATCATGGTTTAAAAGTTTATTTTAATTAATTTCATTTCACCATTATTTTTTTAAAAAAATAAGATAGGTATCACCCATTTAAGTGATTCATCCAAATTCTAATAGTATCATTTTCGTGTCATGAGTCGATCAAAACATTTAAATCAGTTGTTAATTAATTATATTCCCTATATAGAGGAAAAAATATTTAATATTTTCAAAGTTTAATTTCAATAATATGATAATATATAAATAATTGAAAGTAGATATTTAATATTGTTCCTTCAAAGATTAATTAATACGATATAATGAATATTGATTTGGTTTGATAAGTTATTTCCATATCATTTTATTTTGTAAAAAGAAATTGGATTGTATTTGGTAATTTTTTTTTAACTTTAGGATGATTTATCATCGCTTTAACTTTTGTCATAATTTTTATTTTTCGAATGAACACTTTGTGTACGTGAAATAAATCCCCACCGTGTGATAGACAAATCGTATGTGATATATTCAATTTAGAAGACATGAAGGGGGTCATCCCAAATCATCCAGACTTGATATAATTGACATTGCATGATCTATCATCAAGAGGCACATAAAAAAATTTCGAATATAAAATCAATCGAACTAATTAATTATAATTTTTTTCTGAACTTTATAAAATTAAAATTCTCATTTTAGTTTTGATATTATCATGTCAAAATATCCTAAGCAACTTGTTCAAATTGGAGCAACAAAAGCAACAAGACTTTAATGAACCTTTTCATTTGTAAGGACTTAGGTGCATCAATCCCCCATTCTAATAATATTACTAACTTATAAAATTCAAAGTTTCTTACAATTTTTTTTGCTATTAAATCAAACTCTGAATTCCCATAAATATAATTTGCAAATTACAAAAATTACACATAATTTCAACAAATCACAAACTAAAATATCATAACCACACAATCAAGAAATCTCAAGGTTATATTCTTCAAGCTTTTGCCATAAATTTAAGCAAAAATCATTAAAACTTCCATTATTTCATTTCCCATATACCAACTCAATAAAGTCGAAATCAAAATCTTAATTTTATGAATTTTGAATTTTCTAACGACGATTTCTGAACTTGTTGCAAATTATCAATTTCGTTTTCAAACTATTGACAACCTCAAAAACGCTCGTCTACTTGACTAACTAAACTTAAATATACCTCTGATCTATCACAAGGCATACCAATGATCTCTTAAGAAACTTTAATTAAAAATCGAGAATTCATCGCATTGTTGTTGCATGATCAAAATAATTTCACTCATGCCGAGAAATTAGGAGTGTATTTCGGTCCGTCCGAAAAAAAAGGCATTAATTACATGCCCTGCCCTTGTGACTTTCCTTTCTACCCTCGCAAACTCAATAAGTACCCCCTTCACCTTCCTCCCGCTCTTCATTCACCTCCAAAAAAAAACTTGTTTTCCATTTCTCTCTCTCTACTTTCTTTCTCTTAACACTGAGCAGTAAGCGAGTGAGTATGAGAAAAATGGCTGCCAATATGATGCTCTACATTACTATTACTGTTCTTCTCTGTTTTCTCACTGCCGTCAATGCCAGAATCCCCGGCGTTTATACCGGCGGACCATGGCAAACCGCCCACGCCACCTTCTACGGTGGCTCTGACGCATCTGGAACTATGGGTAATTACTATACTCTCTCTCTCAGTTGCAGAGCTTGAATCCAGTAGCAGTAGCTTTTACTCAAACAATGTTAAGTAGTTCGCTAAATATATACAAATATTAGATTTAGAACTCAGTTATTGGTATTAGAAGTGAAAAGCTATATTTGAAAAATCGAAGTTGTGTTTAGTTATGAATACTTACTGGAGTTGTTTTTGAATTGTTGTGAATAATTTAGAGTGAAGATATAACTTCTCTTCGAGTTGAATTTTGAAATTTTCGGAAATGTAATGGCTAAATGTGTTTTCATAGCCTTGTTCATAGATTAATAATTAATAAAATTGCAAATCTGGATCCCTGAATCAATAATTTTGTTTTTTGCTTTTCAATTTTGGGCGCGAATTTTCTGAATTTTGTTCGAATTTGTAGGTGGAGCTTGTGGATATGGCAATTTATACAGCCAAGGTTACGGAGTGAATAATGCAGCGTTAAGCACAGTGCTATTTAACAATGGACTAAGCTGCGGAGCGTGCTTTGAATTAAAGTGTGATAACGATGGCAAATGGTGTCTTCCTGGTAATCCATCCATTTTCGTGACGGCGACAAATTTTTGCCCGCCGAACTTCGCTTTACCAAACGATGACGGCGGGTGGTGTAACCCTCCTCGTCCTCATTTCGATCTCGCCATGCCTATGTTCCTCAAAATCGGACTGTACCGTGCCGGAATTGTCCCCGTCACATACCGCCGGTGAGTTTTCCGATACGCATTTCCATTTTTGCTTGCCGTTTATATATTTGGAAAGTTTCGCCTAACTGTTTTTTTCTGGTTTGCATCAATATGTGTTCTGGTCCCTTTTTTTTTTCGTATTTTTAATTATAAATTTCTTATATTCTTTTTTGACTTTTTAATATTAATTAGTATTACGTTATTTTATTAAAATATATAAATTTTATTTTTAAAAAATTAATAATTCTACGTATATTTTTGACATTTCAAAGGCCAGTATGGGAAAAGATCTGATATGCGGAGAAAATCTGTCAATTAATTAGATTTTTATAATGTAGGCAGAAAATTGCAACTGTTTTTTACAATTTTGGACCATACTGTAATTTAATGCTAGTCTTTATTTAATAAGTATTTAAGAAAAAAAATATTTTTCTCTTTTGCTATCACAAATTTAAGGTATTTAATATATCAAAATATCCTTTTAATCGGTGTTCTCTTTAGTATAAAGTTGAAGATAAAGAGTTATTTATAAAATAAATAAGTAATTTTTTACGAGAAAAATAAAAAATATTAATTAAAATAAAGCAAGTAGTTTCAATTTTTTCTATTTGAAGTAATAATTGGAATTTTATGTATTAGCTTTATAATTATTATTTTGGAAATAAATAGTACTCCCTTTGTTCTATTGTATGTGACACTTTTTGTTTTTCGAGAGTTAGACAGTTTAATTTTAATCGGATATTTGCGTATGAAACTTTTAATTTTTTTGAAATGAAATTTATATAGTTATAAACTACGTAAAAAGTACTATAAGTCACGATAATTGATAATTTAAAAATGTTAAAAGGATCTATAAAAAACGTATGGTTAAAAATAAACTTGTTTGAATTTCGAAATGCGAAAAATATTACATAAAATGGGTTTACTATGAATGAATATGTTCTACTTTAAAAACGTATTTCATTTAATAAGAAATTTAAGAAAGAAAATTTTTGATTTTGTAACGATATCTGCATAATTATACTAATCTTTGAGGTTTTTGAATTGAGCGACTATAAAGGCTTACTAATAGTTATAAACTAGAAAAGTTCAAATTTATTTATTTGTAAATATAAAAATATATACTATTCTTCAAAATTATATTTTCTATTTGTTTGAAGATTTTTGATGTTTGTGTGTGCTTATTTTCCTGCTTTAAGTTTAAATGAAAAATCAAAATCAAAATTGTTTTTAAATTAATTGCAAAAAAATGGTTTCCGACAAAAATTATAGGTTTGCTATACCTTGCCACCATATCTCTCAACATGTTTGAGCTAGTATCATTATCACTATAAATATAATCATTTAAATTAAGGGCTGGTCCCATTATTGTTTAAAATATGTATCGTTTTAACTCATTTTATGTTTATAAACAAAACAACAAATTATATAATATAACGCGTTTTCGTACCATGTGTACAAGGGAATGTTAAAGTTGCAATTTTTAGGTGACTTTGAGGGTAACAAGGGAATGTGAGCAAACAAATAAATTGGGATTTGTTCCTTTTGCTTCGAATTCAGTAATTCGAAGCATGGCTCACATTATTCCATGCCCTTATTGGCCCCACCATCGTTAAATTATTTGATATTTACTAATTCGATTAAATTATTTTTGGCAGAGTACCATGCAGAAAACAAGGAGGAATTCGATTCACAATAAACGGTTTCCGTTACTTCAATTTGTTATTGGTAACAAACGTTGCGGGTGCAGGGGATATACAGAAGGTCTTAATTAAAGGAACAAACACACAATGGATAGCAATGAGTCGTAATTGGGGGCAAAATTGGCAAACTAATTCACCTTTAGTGGGTCAAGCCCTTTCTATTCGGGTTAAAGCTAGTGATCATCGTAGTGTCACGAATGTCAACGTGGCACCCTCTAATTGGCAGTTTGGACAAACTTTTGAAGGCAAGAATTTCCGGGTTTAGATCCATAAACCCATTTCAACTGACCCAACCCAAAAAAACAGAATTACTTTAGTATTATATACAACCACAAAAACAAGATTTTTCCTAGACTTTAATTGTTTCTCTTTTTTACTGAGAAAGTATTGAAGTCTAAGGGGAATTAGTATCTTTTATTATTTTTTTTGAACTTGAGTATTGTTTTTTTTTTTACTATTTGGTGTTGTGAATTGGGCTGAAGAGGTTGCAAAAGCACCCAAAAAAAATGATTTTAAAGGGAAAAAGCATGTAGCCCGCAGCTCTATTTGGCATGTTGATGTATTTTCTATGAACGAATACCAAAAGATATATAAGTAATTATATATAATATACTCTAATGTTTTTATATAATATTTTGCTTTTCTGATATGCTCTATTGTTTCATGTGGCTGGCTTTTCAGTTTTCACTATTAGTGTGAGATTTTTTAAATTTAGTTGAGATTCAATGTTAAAAATAAAATAAAAGAATATTTTAAGTAGGGACCAATATTTTAGATTTTATTTAATTGATTTCGTTAATGAGTTTTAAGTCTTCCGCATTTTTATTCCGTTAATTATGTTTGAAATGTTGAGGTTTAGATTGGTTGGTTCGCTCACATAGGAGAGTAAGTGTGGGTGCCACTCGCGGCTCGTTTTGGGTCGTTACAATTTCACGCAGCAATTATTAGCATGACTTAAATACTGATATTAATGTTTTTTATATCATTATTTTTGGTATTTATTGACTGATATACTGTTGCACCTTTTGCATATTTATTTTCTTATTGTAATTTTTAAAATTAGATGTCTTATGTTATTTTTTTATTTTAAAATAAAAATTAATTAGTTACTATTTTTATTTTATTCTCGATAGTAATGGTTCGCGAAGACTAGCGAGACTTTGATAAAGTAATAATTGATTAATGAAGAAAAATATTATATTAAGACATAAATATTATGAGCTAATTAGATATATATGTTAGAGCTCTAGTTGATATGTTGTGACTTGTTAATTACACTTTAGCAAGTTGTGTTAGCTTAATTTTATAACGACTTTATTAATAATTATAATACAACAATTACTTCTTTTAAGAAATTCTTAGCCTCAAATAGTCTTCTTAAGAGGAACACAGCACACAGCAAAAACTCTACATGTGGTTACTTTATATGATGGGACATTACTTTATGTAATGTATCAATATATTATATAATTTAACCTAATATATTGGGTTGTACATAATGAATTGAGAGGTTGAATATGTCGTTACGTTTTGGAATGCATTCGGATTTCATCAAATTTAAAAAGAAATTGTAATTTTAAAAAAAGAGTAGGAATATAATGTAGTTAACTCTTAACACTTTGAGATTTGTATAAAATCTACTTATATCATCCAATAAAAGTCAAGATCATCACAATTAGTAAACATAAAATTTATTGTTAATTCTTAACTAATTGTCATTGATCACTAAAACCTTTTTAGCTTATTGAATTTTCTTATAATTCCTTATTAATCTATAACTAAATGAGATTAGCATGAAAATTTTAATGTTTAGTCGTAATATTACGTTTTATCTGTAATTTTTTGTTTCACTACTTGAAAAATCACCATTTTCCACATAAAAATGTCCAGAGCTATTATCACTGATATTTTGATTGAATCAGTGAAAAAAGAAAAAATAGTTATCATTAAAAATTTGTTTCTCGCCATTTATTTTTCCAACGAGCTAATTTAACAGAAATTGAGTGTGGCAAAAAAAAAATATTATATTTTATAGAATAAATTTTCAATATTTCGCAACAGAAAAAAACTTTTTAATTAGTATTTTCTCGTAAAACATGAACCCACACATTGCATTGAGTCTTGGACCCATTGTAGGGTTAAGAACTTGTGATTTCATTGAACTACAATCATACATTTAGTGATAATAAATTTAGAGCCCATGTTCATTATTTTTCCAAACATGCATGTGGGTACTATTTTGTTTGTGATTAATCACATTCTAGAGGTGACCAAATTCATTTCATGGTCACTTAAGAATCAGTACACTTATCTATCTAGATGTGCTTTCTTTTTTTATGAAATTCCTAATTATATAGCTTTGTCGGGTCTGATACGATATATATTTTATTCTAGTCTATCTCAAAAATAATTGATATATTTTTTAGCGAAAATGTATAAGTATCTTTTTAGACTATGATCAAAATCTTAGAGACACCTTAATTAAACTAAGGTTCTATTAGTCCCATGAAATCATTTTCTTTTTTTAATCTTGTGCACCTCTTTTACTTACGTGGCTTATAAATATTTTCCATGCACCTCAAATGTTAGAGTCACGAAGTGTACCACGTAAGACAAAAGGTGTACAAATTACAAAAAAAAAAATCAGAAAACAATAGAATCTTAATTTAGTTAAGATGTATCTCTCGGATTTCAATTATAGTCTAGAAAGTACCTATAACTTATATCTATTTTTTATTTCTACTTTTATCTTAACTACATGCTCAACTTGTTGATTAAGATTTTTTTTCTTCACCACTCAACTTACAAAGATATCATACTTGATATATATTTTAGTTATATATAGTAGAGATTAAGTTGAATGGACATGTTGATAATAAAGGGTAATTTTGATATTTAATTTATTTAATTTTGTAAATAATATAGTTAATGGACCTTGATAACATGTGAACTTATTCCATTTTTCTCATCTTACAAGTTTATCAATTAGAAATTGCACATATCCCCTAGAGTGAAAATTCCCTCCAACAATTTAAAAGAAAAATAACCAACAAAATAATATCATTGGGTGAAATATAATTTTTGGGTAAGCAAAATTCTCATAATTCTCACTTCACAAATTGATACTTTTTTTTTTTGGTTCCATTCCACACTATATAACATTCATCTTGGCATTTTATTCCCAAGGATGATATTCTATTTAAACTTTTGTGTTGGAAAGATTAAAACACAACATGTTGCCACGGATGGTTGTGGTGGTGATACCAAACCGTCCTTAATCAGGTTTCTCGAAATTGATCGTTAAAAATATATTCGTATTATACACTACCTAATATTAGAACTTTCTAGGACAAATCATATTATTAAGGCCCATATTAAAGCAGATATCGACGTTGGATGAAAAAAAAATGTTTAGACATAACCAAGATTATCATCTAAGGTAAGTACCTAATTTGATATGAAAGATCACTTAGGAGACTCAAAGTCGCTTTTAGAGATCTAAAATGATAAAGTCGCAAAGAGTTTTGAAATGGAGTATCAGTATTCATTGGATTTACCGTTAAAAGCTAATCTTTTTGTATAGCAAACCAATATAAGATATTTTTCGTTCTAAAATAAAGTGGTTGGAGATAAAAAAAAATATTGTTATCTCATGAAGGGCGGGTAATATTCCATTTTTGACCTATATAGTATATGTTAGGAGGGATAAAAACACAAAATTGTATAGAATAAGATAGAAATGGGAAATATGAGGCTAGTAGAAATGCGTTTTATTGACACTTAGAATAGAAAGCATCAATGCCAATTCCTTTTGCTTTAGGTTCTATTAAGATATTTGTCAATTTTCACATTGAAAATAAATGAAAAAATCTAGGGTTTTAACTACTATTTTTGTTTTTTCTTCAAAGAGTTGAAAAAAAAAAGTAGGGATTAGTCAAATAAGAATATAGTATCTTATCTTTTTAAGCTTTTGATACGAGAAAAGGAATGAGTTAAAAATGAAAAATAACTTAAAAAAATTTGTTCGATAGTTGGTTAGAATTATTTAAGAATTAGTTACGCGAGATATTAATTATTTTGTTTTAACCTAGCATAAGCTAATGGAGAGCACTAATGTCCTCATTACTTATGTGTGTATTAGGTATGCAAAATTTTAAATTATAAAAATTAATTTCATATATGAATAACTTATTGTCTGATTAACGAATTATCAAAAATTATTTAATTTATATAGAAATTAATACCTATCAAACAACCGCTTAGGTTGTGTTTGACACGAAGGAAAATGTTTTCTTGAAACAAATGAGGCTCTTGTGTTTTTTTTTATTTAGTGTTTTGTTAGGTCGCAAAGCAATATTACCATATGAATAATTATATGCACTCAAGAAATATATTATGGAGGTGAGATGGGGAGGAGAAAATGGGAGCTTAATTAGGGGTGGAATGGTAAAGGGCGGGGGTCGAAATATTGAGCGGGTGGAGAGAAGACAATAAGTTTGAAACGTTACTTTTGGTATTTGTTTTTATTAATTCCTGTCAAGAAAACAATTCTTCTTTCCTTTGTGCCAACATATTCTTTTTTATTTTCCACTCGATTTCCGTTATACATATTGGAGTCTAACAAATTCAGATTCACGCATGAAAGTCTCAAATTAAGGGTAAATCGATCCCTAACAAAAGTAACTTTGATTTGTATCCAAGAAAACTGAAATTTGAAAATTATAGTTAAAATTAAAAAAAAATATTTACCACTCCGCTACAACTCTCGTAGGTTGCCCAACATATCCTTAAAATATACCTAAGTCATGACCACTTGACACTTGACAATCCCTAAATTCTCTATTTTAATAAAAGTCATTTTAGTCAACCAGATAAAATATTTTTGGGTTCTTCATATAACATATTGATAGCCAAATATATGCAATTCAAGAAGAATTTATACCCTTAAAACTTTTTATAATACAATTTATTTATTTTTGGGTCTTTGGGAATATTATCTTTAAAACAAATGTTGGATCCAAAATTCACGATCAGAAATTCCAGAGTATCATTTGGCAATAAATTTTGTTCGTTTGGATCGTTATTTAGGAGAATATTTCGTATATTATGTAATTTTCTTAAACTATCACTATTTTACGTAAATATATTGCTTTAGTTTATTTTGTTACATAATTTTTCATCTTTAATTACTAAATCATATTCGTAGGAAGAGTACTAGAGTCGGTATATTAACACGTGGAAATTAATAACACAAATTAGCCTTAAAACAATAATAAATTAATGTATTTTGGCTAACCTACATCTATATATATACGAGAGGAGATAAATAATTAACTAACATATAAAAATAAAATAAAATAATCAAAATCGAAAGAATACCTCACAAAAATTAATACTGACTAGATTATACATTTTGTCTTACAAATTATGTATATGATCAAACATGAGTCTACAACATAAAAGAAAAATTACGTCACAAATATTGTAAAATAAAATTGAAAGATTCTTGATTAATAAAAGTTTAAAATAAAAAAATTAATCAAAATATAAAAAGCAACATTTTTACTTTTTAATTTATCCTCATTTCATGACAAACATTTAAATATAAAATAATCCATAAACATGCCGT